CGCGAACCGCTCCAGCGAGAGCTGCAGATCACGTTCCGATGAAGCCAACAGGACCACATCATCCGCAAAAAGCAGGGATGCGATCCTAAGGCCACCAAAACGGATCCCCTCAACACCTCAGCTGCGCCTAGAAATTCTGTCCATGAAAGTAATGAACAGAATCGGTGACAAAGGGCAGCCTTGGCGGAGTACAACTCTAACTAAGTCGGGCTCGTTTCCGGTGCTATATTCTGTGATGCAATATGTAGCTAGCTAACTCCATCTGACCAGACGTGGGGATTACTATCAATGTTGGAAAAGTTGCACATCCTAAAACGTTTTACTGTAAAAGCCAGAAAAGCTGTGACCATTAAAAAGGAGTTGCCACAAGCTGTAGGACCTAAAGTGAATTACTGTAAGTTGTAGAAAAGCTGTGYCACCTCAAACCTGTTCATTTTCTAACTATCTTTTCACAGACTTGGAACCTGTATTTTTCTAAAATTTACCAACTGATAAAACTGATAAAACTTCATTTGGCTCAGAAGGAGAGAATCAGTGTAAGAAAATTCGTATTCAATAAACTGAAGTCGATATTAAAAACACAATTGTTAAATAAAATGATTTGTAGATGGAATCAAACCATACAACACCAGAATTCTGGATCTGAGTGAGGTTTATTGTCACTCAAGCTGACAGGAAACCAACACTACCGGAAAACCAGGAAGTTCATGTATTTATACACCTTCTTCAATGCCTGTGTTCGCCCCCTACTGACCTACGGCTGRATCACAGGCATTCAGACAAAACCCTCAGCCGATGTCATCACAACGTTTGATTATGTGTTGTCACATATTTCRSACATGTAACTGAACTTATTTCAATCAAAACATAATAGATTAAACACTGTCATCATTACAAAAAGGAAAACCTAAGAATATAGTGTTGTGCTTTTAACTTCAGTACTAACCTCTAATAACTTTAAATTTCTTCATCAGGACGGATGTTCACTGCAGATCTGGTCACATGAGGATTATAAAACAAATGCTCTTATCCTGGCAGCACACGAGTCTGGCACAATGTGTCAAACACATGCCCCAATTGGACTCGGCAAAATAGAATAAGGAGCAAGAATTACATTATGAACCACATCCAGATACCCAGAACCCCATCATGTGATCCAACAGGATTCATTAAATAAGAATGTGCACACAGAAAAAAAAACCCACAGAGCCTTCTTCTTCCTCCTCCCACCAACCCGTTTGTCCCAAYGCTTCCCTCTGGGTGTGGAGGAGGTCCTGCTGCAGAAAACAGATGTGCATGTAAAACATAAAACACGTCTTTGTCCAAGAACAATTTAACTTTACATCTCTGCAAAACAGTTGGTTGTACTGGTTTGTGTCAGAACTGACAGTAGATTTGTTTGGTATAGGTCTCATTTAATGCCTGTAATCTTTTTTTTTTTTTAGTTTTGTGAATCTCAGGCAGTAGATGGGTTTAGAT